AATGGACAGCGATCGCGGGGCAGCCGCGCATGATCCCGATTTAGCCGCGAACTGCACGTTGTATCGTTTTTGTCAGGGATGGTGGCCTTGCGCAAAGCAGGCAATATGAGGGCACCCCCGCCGTCCTGGTCCAAAAACAATACAAATTGTTCGCGGGGCCCACGAGCATCACCCAATAGTTTGCGTCAAAGTTTGCTTCATATTGCCTTTTGACAGGGATGGGGTCGTGCGTTGGCATGTGTCCTGGTTGGCTGCCCGTCGCATTGGGCAGGGAGTGTTTATTCATAGGGACTAGCGATAAACCCCGTCCCGACGGGAAGGATCATGTTGGACGAGGAAACCCTCTAAGCCACTCACGCCCACAAGGGTTGGTGGGATAGGCTGAGGATAACCGACGTCATCGCAACGCGAGCCCGCAGGCCGAGAATGGGAGGAGCGCCGAAGCCATCGCGACGCGAGCACGCCGTACCTCTTCGCGACCTTGGGGCCCCATCGCGGGGACCCGGGAACGCAGGGCGAAGCCCGCTGAATGGAAAGGCTGGCGGGTCAAGAGAACTTACAGTGAAAACCCACGTCGAGAAAAAAAAAAACATCCTCTTGCCTCCAGGGTGCCCTGGGTTTCTTGGGCTTCGATGGTTTTGCTATGGAAAGCGTGACGTACACCAAAAGTCAATGGAAGTCCTGGGGTCTCAGGGTTGGGTTGCTTGTGGAAGGTTTCCTGTGGTCGAGCTGCTACTGTAAACATGGATTCGGGCAACGTGGGTACGCTGCCCGTCCCGCTTTCGTGCAGAACCGGCGCGTCCCTTCGCCGAGTCGGGCGGCACTGACACCACCTTTCGGGTTGTACTTTTCTAGATCCGTGGATCTGGCACCCGCTCGACAGATCCATGGACCCCGAATCCATAGTGGCGTGCGCCAGAGCAAGACAACAGCGGCGGCTCGCAGAGAGCAGGGCATCAAAAGTTGGGCGGCCTCCTTGTGCGAGGCGGGGATTTATCCACATCCGCCGCCTGGGATTCGACGTGCGGGCGGTGTATGTGGACATTTGTTGGCCCCTGGGGGCCCGAATTTTTATCCATGCCCACCGCCCGTAAAAGGGTCAGAGAAAATCGATCCTCCAGGCGGTGGTCCTGTGCGAATCCCCACCTCGACCTGTGGAGCTCCTGGTGGTATAGACGCGGCCCACGCAGTTTCTCTGATGGGCCAACTCTCCACCACTGCCACGGGTAGGACGGAGGAAAAGGGAGGATGGAGAGGTCCTCCTCCCACTCCTCCTCGTCCCTCGTCGTCCCTGATTACTCGTCCCTGCTATTCCTCCTCCTCCTCTTCCACCTCCTCCTCCTCCTCCTCCTCCCTCCTCGCCCCTCCTCGTCCCTGATTGCTCGTCCCTGCTATTCCCCCTCCTCCTCCTCCTCCTCTTCCTCCTCCACATCGAATGGGGGAACAACGAGATGCGGCTGATCGGGTACTGGAGGTGCTGTAGCGTCATGCTGCGTCCGCTGTATCAGCAGATTTCGACCTTGGACCGAGTTTCTATGGATCTGCAGGCTCATCTCATATTGACTTCGTGCCCACTTTTTCTCGGCAGGGGTCGATGGTAGACATATGTATATTGATGACGAGTATCAATCAGAGGCTCAAGCTGGTGAAAAAGATTGGGCTTCAAAATCCCGTGCCCATGCTTCTTCGCCATGATTGCAAGTTCGACCTCTCGGCATCGGCCTCGCGAGGCATCCAGTGGGGCTGCGACAGGCTCGCGGAGGCCCTGCGCCGCGGTGAGGGCGTCGGGGCTTTCGTAACAGACCTGGCGGCGCAGCTTTCGTGGGTCGACTTCCACGTCTTGCTATTGACCTGCTCCGACGCCAGACATGATGTGGGAGCGTTGGATTACCACGGTCTCTGCCGTGGCGGACAAGCATTTCTCTCGGGCTGCGTCTGCTGACCCACTGGCCCGAGAATATGGGCACGGTAGGGGCCGTCTTCTGGCGGGGTGATGCGACGCGCGTGCTGCTGGCGACGACTTCGGGGCGTCTCTGCAGTTGGCGCGGCTTTCTTGCAGGTTGAGACAGCTCAGACGGAATCGACGGGGGTCGGTGGCGGCGCAGCTCGCGTCTGAGATTGGCTCGGTATGGCAGCGACAGCAGCACGCAGAGGTTTGGCGCTTTGCCCATGTCCTTGCCTCCAAGTGCGGAGGTCCCAAGCGCGGGCGCTACAGCGCGGTTGGCGAGTTCGTTCCGAGGGTCGACGAGATTCGAGTTCATTTCGCCGCGCCAGGACCTGAAAGGGAATCCGAGGCAGTCCCGATTCAGTTCCAGGAGTACCACGAAGCCCAGAATGAAGTCGCCCCGAAGCCCCCCCACCCATGCACGGCACCGACAACTGCGAGCATGTCGAGGTAGGGCGCGCGGACCTCGAGCAGGTCTCGGAGTTGTTAGCTTAGGCGCCTCGTCGGAAGGCGCCCCCCTGCATGGTGCGCCTTCTGAGGTCATCTTGCCGCCGG